GGTACCTGCAGCTTGTTTGATGAGCCTGGCGGGCCAGGACGGTTCGGTGGGACCTTCTGGATAGTCAGATCTTTAGTAAACTCCGGAGGTGTGATGTCCCCTGGATTGGGCTAAGGGAGGGGTGTCCCAGACCTTCAGGGGACCAGCTTCTCTTCCCAGGAGAATAAGGGCTCTGTGGAGGTCATGAGGAAAGACCTGAATGATGCCCGGGACCTGCATGGCCAGGCCGAGTCTGCTGCTGCTGTGTGGAAGGCAAGTAGTGGACCTGGGTCCGTGGGAAGGAGGGGACGTGGGTATGTCCTCTTGACTCTGTCTGGCAGGACCTTGGGAAGGAACTGAGCCCTCAGTAGCAAACCTTTTCTCCTTGAGGTGGTCAGCATGGGATTGGGGTCCTGGGTGCAGCCCAGGACACAGGTGTCCTTCCCTGCCACCTGCCCTGCAGGGACACGTGATGGACCGCAGGAAGAAGGCCCTGACCGACTACAAGAAGCTCCGGGCTTTCTTTGTGGAGGAGGAGGAGCGCTTCCTGCAGGAGGCAGAAAAAGAGGAGGGGTCCCCCGAAGATGAGGATGCTGACCCTGCAGAGAGGTTCAGGTCCCTCCTGCAGGCCCTGTCGGAGCTGGAGCGGAGGCACCGCAACCTGGGCCTTAGCATGCTGCTCCAGGTGGGCCCTGGCCCCATCTTGAAAACCTTTAGCTACCAAGAGAGGGCTTACGGCGAGGCCTGGCCTTTATTTGGGGCTGGATTTCAGGATGAGTAATCCAGCAGACTCCCCAGCCTCCATGTTACTGGTGATCTTTCATGAGGCAGGGCTGCTCCCCAATACTGAAGCACCGGGCCCTTGTCCTACCCTAGCACTCTGCAGGCAGGAGCTGGCCGTGGGGTGCAGGAGCACAGGGTCCCCAGGAAGGTGATGGCCATCTGACTCTTCCTACATGTCCTCACTCCCTATGTCTGAGGCCGGGCCCTGGAGGCTCTGGGTTCTTTGTGCCCCCTCTGATCTGAGCCAGCAGCCCCCACCCTCCCCTTCTCTGGGCTGGGAAATGCCATTTCACTCGGAATGCTTGTTAGCTGCTGGTAGGTGGTGGTGTGGGGTGATCATCATGGGAGGCTTGGCTTCAGCCTTGGGGAGCTGCCTGTGGCTGGTGGAACTGGGGCATGGCCATTTGGATTTTAGGATAGCAGCTCCCTCCTCTATCTCTTTCTCTCTCTCCCTGTCTCTCTCTCTCTGCAGTGATGCCAGGCAGAGGAAGCTGGCTCGACCATGGCCCGGCCCCTAGCAGCTCCATCCGCCTCGTTCAGGACCCCGGAGTGTCCTAGGTGTGACTGGGCTTCGTACCGTAGGTGCCACCTTGGGTTGTCCCCTCAGTAGTGACGGTGTTTTCTTTCCTTGGGTGTTTGTGTTTCTGGGCTATAAAAGCCAGCCTCACTGTGGAGACCTGAAGCGGTGGGGAGGCATCAGTAACTCAAGTGTATCCTGTTCTTTCTCTTCATAAAGCTGTTATTGCCGCCACCGAGTCTCTTCACATCTGCCTGGGATCTCCGTGACAGCTGTTGTCACAGCTGCCGGGTGGCTGGGTTGTCCAGACCTGGCACCTGCCCCCTTTAAATGCTGCCCATGATGGGCCTTGTTCTACTCAGGTTTAAAGACCCCTGTCTGAGCATCGGGCAGAAGAGTTAAGGTTAAATTTGGGGTGTTCATCGAAGGAAAGGGAGTCCCAGGTGCCTAGATGGGGAGGACGGGCAGGTAGATCCACCTGTCACTCCTGTTTGAGGCCCTGACAGCTTGCGTCCCCCACAAACCACCCACAGCTCAATTTCTCTGCAGTAGTGGCCCCGGGTTCCTCTGGGTCTGGGAAGTCAGCCCTCTGTGCACCTCACCTCAGCTCTGTTCCCGGTGTCTCCCAGTGTGTCCGCTTGCCCTGCTCCTCCTCCATCACTGTCCCTTAGGAGCAGGTTGGCGTGCTGTCGTTCTTGCTGTACCCCTGGCTTCCCTTGCTGTAGTTCCTCCCATAGATGAATTTAGCAAAACCCATGACTTAGTGGCAGTGTCACTGTGTAGATGAGTTCAAGGGACAAAAATACCATATGGTGACAGGACAGGGGGTCCCAGTGCGTTGGCAGACCTTTAGGGTGGCTCTGAGTCACTCCAGATTAGCAGCTTTGTGATCAGTGGGCCATTTCTGGACAAAGCTTTTTAGACTTGGGTGCCACTGGCTCAAGTTTGAGGCTGGCACTCCTGGAGCCCAGATCAGGGTTTGCTCGCATCACTCCTCCCTCTGTCTCCTCTAGTGCCCCGTGATTGGGTGGAGCTTCTGCAGGTGGGTCTTCTCTTTGATGTGCTCCCACTTCCCACCTTCGTCAAGTGGGGAACCACGGGAGCTGGTCCAGGCTCCTGTGCACTGAGCGCAGATGCCCGCTGGGAGGCCTCTCAGTTGGAGACTTCGGTGCAGCTCAGTAAGATGGTGCCCAGCGGGGCAGGGGCTGGGGAGAGACATGAGATCCACCAGCACAGACTTGCTTGCATTCTGATAGTGGTGAGCGTCTTTGGTGCTCTCGCATGCTGTCTATGTAAGGATGACTGGCAGAGAGGTAGTTTTTTTTTTTTTTTTAAAATATATTTTATTGAGTTTTTACAGAGAGGAAAGGAGAGAGATAGAGAGTTAGAAACATCGATGAGAGAGAAACATCGACCAGCTGCCTCCTGCACACAGAGGTAGTTTATTAGAGACAGTCATCTTGTCAAACGGAATGCCTTTGGCTAAATGATCTTAATAAAGAATCCCGACCCCCTCGATCAGGGGTCAGTACTAGGAGGCCCTCTGGCCTCTTTCCAACTCTGGGGGACCCAGGAGGAAGTTTTGTGTCCCGACTTGGGCTCCAGTGAGGCCTGGCTGCCTCCTCACGGCTCCTCTGAGTGTGTGGGCAGTGAGAGCTCTGACAGCCTGTTTATTTATGGGTTCATATATTCAGTACTGAGATGAGGCCCTCCACTTGTCATTTTATCAGAGTTCAGTGGGAAAGTCGCCAGTATTTGGGAACTGCGGCCCAATTTCAATTTCAAATCCGTAGTCCAAGGGGAGCAGAGACAAATGCTGAGGATCGTTTCACGCTCGGTGGGAGTGTCCATACATCATGTTATGAGGAGATACTGACACCTCATGCAATCCAGACTTGCATGTGGAGATACTGGTGAGCTGCTCCCAGCAGAAATCAGAAACCCGATGACTGCAAGGTGTGAGTCGGGCTCCCATGTGGGGTATGGACTGATGCTACCATTTTGGATAGTACCCTGAGATTCAAACTAACACATGTGGGAGTCAGGCCAACAGGAGGTTAGGGGGAACCAGCCCCCAAGACCAGCCTTGCTTCCCACCCGTGTGCAAATTCCAGAGTTTCCCACACCCTCTTGGAGCTCGAGAATCCACTCTAAATGCTCCCAGAGCCACTGAAGGTCGTTTGCTCATGGTGATGGTTTATTTTGGGGAGAAGGGACAGGTTAAAGGGCTGCCAACCTACCCTAGAGGCAGGGTGCTACCTGCAGGGGAGGCGGGGCAGGCTGCTCTGCAGACCCATGGACTGATGCCTTCCCCAGCCCTGCCCTGCCCTGAGGAAGTGGGGGTCACAGAACATGAGAACTACCTGTAGTAGTTTGACGGGAATGCTGCCATAGCTTTATCGCCACCAGTGGTGTTTGGAATGGTTTCCACAGGTGAGGCTTATAAAAAATGCCTCTTTAAGATCATGGCCAGAGTAGCAGACGGATGGAACCATAGAAGATATTTGCAGTGATTCACACTGAGACTGTGCAGGCAACTCCTGCAGATCTGGAAGAGCCAAAAGGAGCTGGATGAAAACACAAGACAGGGTGTGGACAAGCAGGTGAGAAGAGTAGCTAGAAGCACAGGGGGAGAAGGTCAAACATGTTAAACCAGAGAGAAAGCATGCCTGCCCCTGGCTCTGCATTGCTGCTGCAGGTGCAGCACAGCTGCCAGATGTCATCTGATTTAGGGTGTACCTGTACATGGTTGCAGAGGAAGTGGACAGGGGTGCAGGTGCTCCTTACTGGGGAAAGTGGGAGGTCAAATGGGGGATGAAGACCGTGGAGAAGGCCCAACCCCAGGGACACAGGAGCTGGACTGGGCCACTCAATGGGGCTGAGGGCACCGTGCTGATACAAATGAAAGCCAAACAAAACAGCACTATTTATGTAAACTTACAACTAATGGTTGCAAGAACACTTAAAATTGACAAATGGACCCCATTAGGATAGTTGTCTGTGGGGCAGGAGAGAAGGTTGAATTGAGGATGAATTTTCTCTGGACTCACACTTCGAGACTCCTCAAGAGGCTGAGCCAGCCCTCCACCCTCCCCCCGGCCCCAATATGCTTTGCTTCTCTGGCAACCTGAAAGCCCTTCGCCCTGGATGTGCCTGTGCTAGCTCAGCTGTTTGCACTGGTCTAAAGGCCTACCTGAGCGCCACCATTTCTTGGGAGGGTTGAGCCTGGGAAAGGGTCAGGAGCCCCAGACAAACTCGGTAATTGAGGACATGACTCAGACAGGCAGGCTCCTGGGGTGGAGGAAAGTGGCAAAGCAGTTTTGTGGGTCCCAGAGCCCCACCTGCCCCAAGTCAGGTGGCTCAAGGCTGAGGTTCCTCATTTCCTAGCAGGACTCTAACTCAGTTTAGAGACATGGTTTAAATGATACATAGACACCATGGTCCTTTTTCTTTATACTTTGTGGGTCCTGAGTTTTATTAGACCTCCATTCCCTAAGAGGGATGTGGTAGTGAGCCATTTGGCAGATCTTATAAGTATTGATAAAACCACTAAGTAACGCAGATGTCTCAGTCAAAACATGTCATCAGTACAACACAGTCAAGTAACCAGTCAGAATTTAACAGGACACAGTATCAGCCTCTAGTTTTTTTGTGTGTTTGTTTTTTGTGTTTTTTTAAAAATATATATTTTATTGATTTTTTACAGAGAGGAAGGGAGAGAGATAGTTAGAAACATCGATGAGAGAGAAACATCGATCAGCCGCCTCCTGCACACCTCTTACTGGGGATGTGCCCGCAACCCAGGTACATGCCCTTGACCGGAATCGAACCTGGGACCTTTCAGTCCACAGGCAGACGCTCTATCCACTGAGCCAAACCGGTTTCGGCTTTGTGTTTGTTAACAAGGCAGTTTTGCACACATAAGAGTGGGCAGATTTAAACAAAATCAGGAAAGGTAACATACTGGTCATAGATATAGACACCTCGTGTCTCCTGTGTGTCAGAACAAGATCCTCCTCTTCTGAAAGTTTCAGTCCCACACATTGGATAAGCCACTGCATTTGTTATGTGATGAGAAATGGCATCTCCTGCACCGCAGCTCTCCTGGTTGGTGGCCTTTGTCCTGAGACCCAGGCGGCCTGTGGAGAGCTGGCGACAGCACCCGGTCTGCATCCACACTGGGGCGAGGCCAGCCTGTCCTGGGCTCCTTGTTGGGGCCCCCGACCCAGCTGCAGGGGGTGGGGTGGGGCATAAGCACTGCTTCCACCCTCTGGGCCACCAGCATCGGAGGAAACCCCGGACCTGAGGAGTGAGGAGTGGCCCAACAGAAAGGGGCCGTCGAGCGACAGAGGCGATTGTGTGGTTTGGCCTGGGACACAGTCATGGTTAAGGTCCCCGGGGCTCTAGCGCGCAGATAGTGCTGCGCTGCGTGTTCTGGCGCCCGGTCCCTATACAGATGAAGTGACTTTGCAGTCTTGTCTGATTGGAGAAGCCACAGGGCTCCACGCTACAGAGCAGCCAGTAGGGCTCACGTGATATAGGACGTCTTCATCCTATTTGTGGGCGCGGCACTTGGCGGCATGCTCCCGGAATATGCCGCCTCCCCCACCGTGGGTTCAGGCTACCGCAAGCAGGCTGGCCATCTGCAACTTTAGAAGCTCAACAAACCGCCACATGATCCTTGTATAGATTGGTGTCCTGCCTAACATCCAGGCTGTGCTTCTGTGACACGGAAGACTTCAAAGTCATCTACAACCAGCAAAGAGCTGCTGATGTGTCCTCCGGTCTCCTTTCCCCAGTTCCCTGTCCTTCCTTATCTTGTGCAGCTGAGGTCAGTAGTGAGACAAGGTTGGCGCACGAGCTGGCAATGGACCTGGCTCTTAAGTAGGAACAGTGTATACATCATTGTTGGCACACAGACGATCCTGGGCCAGGACCAGGGCAGCCAGTTGTGCGTGGGATAGGGGACATGGATGGACATGTCACTGCAGAGGTATGGAATGGGCTTCCCATGGATGCTTATGTTCTTGCCCAAGGGGTGCCCTCCATGTTTCTGGGGCCCTCTGGGAACAAGCCACAGGCAGAAATTGATCCTGGGCAAAAACTTGGCTCAGTGCTGAATTCTGCTGGGCTCTACCCTCCTATGGGTTCACATAGGTCTTTCCCACCAATGCTCCTTTTAATGCCCCATCCTATCTAATAAAAGACAAAAAGGGTAATTGACCAAACCTTCA